AGATAGACTTTACTGCAGTTTGTATTTTACTGACATCTTTGCACATTTTGTTTCATTGATAAAAAAAATTAAAACATAACCTTTCTGTTCCTTAGATGGGGAAACAACCATAACAGAAGATATGGCTTCTTTGCTTAAAGCCTCACTGGGACTGTGATACACACACTTAAACAAAAGGTAGACTTGAGACTGGGTAAATACATTTCTGAATGCATTCCCTTGATCCTGGGTAGACTGTTGGTCCAACAGGAGAACCACTGAGTGGTCAGATAAATGGACTGTGCCACAACACTCTTTTTACATTAATACTTTGTCAAGGTTTAAGAATGGGGAAAGCCCAGATGTGAATTTGGCCACTTGAACACAACCTTTAAAGTCTCGATTAATTGTTGTTATTGCTGTATGTTTTTGAAATGTGGGAAATTCGGACTGAAACCCTTTTGAATCTCATCTCTGTGATGGAAAAGTAGCCGTCACTTTACACAGGTAAGACAACATGAATGCAGCGACTAAACGGTTAAAGTAGATGAAACAGAGAGAAAGTTGTTGGTTTTGTTTACCATCACCGATAATAAGTCTTATTGGTTTGATCAATTCCCTGACAAATTAAAAAAGAAAACTGCAAAATATGACCAAATGGAAACAGGGAACACGCTTGCAGTTGTCTAAGTAATTTCATCCTGAAACAATAAGTTTAAACTTGCTTTTATATTCATTAACAGTTTAAGTTAATGATAAATAATAAAATAATAATATATATATAATAATAAAAACATCTGCTGCCTTCATTGATGGTGTGATCTGTGTTGGCCAGTATGTTGTAGATGTTTACATGTGACTGTAAAAGGCAACATCATTTGTATGTTCTTTATTGAACAGAATAAAAATAATAAAAAGAAATTATATAATAAATATTGAACATATCGAGGAGGGAAATTAGTGTTGTTTTAGGGTAAATTACGATAAACCTTATCTCAAGTCACTCTGCTTATACCCACAGTTAATTTAACACAAATATAATTACAAGTATTATAAACATACTGTGCATGGCCTGTATAGTATGTAACATAAGAACCCTAAACAAAATTAGCCTTCGGTGCAATAATGATTTTATTTTGAAATACATTTGAAAATGTGTTGACAGCACAAAACTATTATGTACTACAGTTGCATTAAATATATGGCTGCAGAAAACTTTACAGCATAATTTTACATGAGTCAAAGAAATTGAAATTCAAGTCAATTCAGTTTCAGTATTTGTACAATAAGCGGTGCAGAATGTCCTTGGTTCATTATTGCTGCCACTGCTTCAGGATCGGGGCAGAGACACAAATATAGTGCACCTGTTACTGTAACTACCTTAAATAATAAACGTCTTAAAGTTTCTAAATCCACTGTTTGGCCTGTGGTCTATCGATGATAATGTCAGAGGTTATAATTATAAAAGATAATTATAGGATTGTGACCTTATATGGTTTATGTGCTAAACTAATCCAATACCTCTGCTTAAGTGAAATTCATTTTGGTGAGAATCCTGTTTTCGATGCCTGGCATTTTCCTCATTAATGTACAGTCTGTGGCAAGCAAAATGGGTGACCTGCAACAGGATTGTATTTTTAAAAGGATTATGGACAGTCTTGAAGTAATACGTCATGTTTTGATAATGAGAATGGCTTCGTCCTATTTCAAACCACATAAATGCAAAAGAGGAGTGAGGTAACAATATACACTATATTACCAAAAGTATTCGCTCACCTGCCTTGAATCATACTATGAACTGAAGTGCCATCCCATTCCTAATGGTTCAATATGCTGTCGGTCCACCTTTTGCAGCTATTACAGCTGGGAAGACTGTCCACAAGGTTGAGGAGAGTGTTTATAGGAATTTTTGACCATTCTTCCAAAATCGCATTGGTGAGGTCACACACTGATGTTGGTCGAGAAGGCCTGGCTCTCAGTCTCGGCTCTAATTCATCCCAAAGGTGTTCTATTGGGTTCAGGTCAGGACTCTGTGCAGGCCAGTCAAGTTCATCCACACCAGACTCTGTCATCCATGTCTTTATGGACCTTGCTTTGTGCACTGGTGCACAGTCATGTTGGAAGAGAAAGGGGCCCGCTCCAAACTGTTCCCACAAGGTTGGGAGCATGGAATTTTCTTTTTTTCAGGAGCTGGGCCTGGCCCCTTAGTTCCAGTGAAAGGAACTTTGAATGCTTCAGGATACCCAAACATTTTGGACAATTCCAAAAAAGCTGTAATAGCTGCAAAAGGTTGACCGACAGCATATTGAACCATTAGGAATGGGATGGCACTTCAGTTCATAGTATGATTCAAGGCAGGTGAGCGAATACTTTTGGTAATATAGTGTATGTTAAGAGTCTAAATCAATCTATATATAATTGAAACTTATCAGTGGCTCCTGTTCTTACTTTATTTTCCCAAACTCACAGCCAAAGGGGAATGAATTTTCAAAGATGATGATGATGACCTCCAGATCCAGGATGACCTGCAATTGCTACCTAAAGAATTCTACTGGGAATACTGTATTTATAATACCATAATATTAAAATCTGTAACTGGAAGGGACAATCATTATTAAGTGCTGGGTGTGTATTGTTCACACCTATACCCTGTTAAATGAGTGTCACGTTTTATGGTGTAGGTGAAATAAAGGACGCCTTTCTTTAGCTGACAGCTCAGAGAGTGAGTTCCTCGCTCAGGAAACCCCACACAGACTCCAGCCATGTCGTTATAGAGCACATCTCTGTCCCAGACTTCAAACCTCAACGCCTGACCAAGTTCTACCGAGCCAGAGTCATAGGTGGCATTCCGGTTTCTGTCTCCTTTTACATGCCGTTGTAGAAGATTTTCACATAGGCATCAGTTTTGGTGAAAGTGTGTGCCCTCAGACCTGCAGCTCTGTGGATCTCTAATCTGAGATGACCTCTGCCGGCCCTCAGAGGACAGCAGTTGTGATCTAGATTGGCAGTTGAGGAACAGTTCTTGACAGCCGACTGATCCTGAAGCTGGTTTTCCTTAATGTACTCTGTGACAAGGCTTTTCAGATTCTCTCTTACTTGGCTGTCGTCCACCAAGTGGTGTAAGGGGAAGATGGCATAGGTAACTACATCAGGGTTGTTGTGGAGACTGTTCATCCAGCTGTGGTAGGCTTAAGATGGGTCCGGCTGATAAGGGATGTCCGGGAAGTACCTCTCTCCTCTGATCACCTCAATCTTATGGGTCATAAAGCCTTGGTAGAAGCCCATGCTCATGTTGCCCTTCAGAAGTTTCTAACACTTGTTGGAGAGGGACGCGTTACTAGGGAGAAACCCAAGAGCCAATCGCAGTTTGCCGTTCAAGCATTTATTGATTTCTGACTCAGAGAACCCCTTCAGTGTTGCCAGGCAGATCCTGAAGGCAGTGATTCTCCTCACTTTACCCCCCAGCTGGACCTGGGAGAAGAAGAAGCCAAAAATGAGTCACTGAGATTTATTTTCAATTCTCTTTTGACTTGTTTTATATAGTATAAAAAGAAAAACATAATATATAGGCCTGTCAAACTATTTACATTTTTGATCTGTGCACAAAAACAGTAACAGTAGGTATTTTTTATTTATAACTAATCCAAATGATGGAGTTATAATGTAGACAAAGATACATGCCAAAAACATGCCAAACAATAACTTAAAATTTGCTTAATTGGGGTTGTGGAGCACATTGAGGTTAATTTCAAAGCATTACAGAAGCTGTCTTCAACAATATTAATCAGTCCACAGTTTCTTGCAATCTATTTGACATTAGTGTCTTATTTACTGCCATGCTCTCGATGAAGGTGGTCTGACATGTTTGGCATCTGACTTAGAGTTGGAGCTCTAAATTATATTTTATCTGCTCTTTCGGCAGCAGGCTGCGGCAACCTCAGTGCAGAACAGAAACGCTACCGGAAGACAACCCTCCCATCAGCCATCAAACTATTAAATACTGCAAATTTTCCACTCATAATTTACTTATGCCAATATGTTCTTCATTGTTTTCCGCAGCGGGTTTAGTTTAGTTTAGTTTATTTAAAAGGGGACAGTGCAATTTCATAAAACACATGATTAATGTGTTAAAAAATTAACATGGTTAAAAAAGCCAGTTAGCCAGAAGGCTAGTTTTCATCTGTAGTCCCCTGGCCATGATGTAAGAAGGCAGAAAGCACACAATACATATACAATATAATACAAAACACTTCCTATACAATTAAGAAAGAATACGACATTACAACATATCACAACATAACATTTTAAGTCTACAAATGTGTGAAGACTGCCCCAGTTTAAAACACTGTATTTTTTTAAATTGCACAGTGATGATAGTGCCTAGATTTTTAATCCATAACTTTAATTGCTTGTTTGTACAAGACTTCCAACGGTTTTTTTTGCACTTTGACCAGCCTGGGACCAACTGGTTAGGCAAAAGTTCAAGTGACTGAAAATCATCGAATGCAAGTACATTTTTGCAGCTTCAGTTGACATTTCATTTCAAATTCCACGAAAATTTACGAGATTTAACTTGATTTTATACACAGTTTATCAATATGGGCTTTAAAGGAAAGCTGTGAATCTATTATTAGCCCAGGATATTTATATTGGCTGACAATTTGTATTTTCTCTCCATTAACATGTATATTGGGATCAGGTGATATTCTATTTATTTTAGTGAAATACATGCCTACAGTTTTAGAAATGTTTAGCTGTAGACAGCACTCTTGCAACCAAGTTGTGACACAGGACATTGTTTTAATGAGTTTAGCAGCAACAGTTTCTTTGGTACGACCATGAACAAAGAAAACCATGTCGTCTGCATACATAAGCATTCAGCTTCAGAACAAACAGTGGGCAAATCATTACTATAAAGACTAAATAAAAAGGCGGCTAATATTGACCCCTGAGGGACTCCGGAGGTTAACCTAAGAGAGTCAGATCTGCAGTTGTTAACTGATACAGATTGTGTTCGATTCTGCAGATATGATTCAATCCAACTTACAGCGTTGTGAGAGAAGTTCAATTTTGAGAGCTTGGTAAGAAGAACAGAGTGATTTACTGTATCAAATGCTTTCCTGAGGTCCAAAAACACTGCTCCTACAACTCCACCCTTATCGAGAAAATATTTTATGTTCTCAATTTCAGTGAAATGGTTGGATCTGAAACCAAACTGCATGGCATGGAGGGAGGGGGAGCTGCTGTTTTAGTGATGGACGATCTGCTGTCACCCATTTTTCTGCGATTTTGGAAAGAGAAGAATGCTTATTGGGCGGTAGTTGTGCAGAGAAGTTGAGTCACCGGATTTTAAGACAGGGGTAACAATAGCCGATTTCCAGGCCTTTGGAAAGTGACCCAATGGAATTGAAAAATTAATGATTGAGGCAATAGGAGTGGTGAGAGCTGAACCTAGATCTTTGAGGAAGTTCATGTCCATTCCAAAAACATCCTTTGCTTTAGATGGTTTGAGTGATTTAATTAAATCGATAACTTTGGTCTCGGTAATGTTTGTAATAGTAAATGAGTATATATATATATATATATATATATATATATATATATATATATATGTATATATATATATATATATATAATAGTGTGTGTTGTGT